CCCCCCCAGCCAGCTATGGGGGTTTGCCCCAGCACAACCTTTACAGCCAGGCCTATAGGGACCCCTCTGGGCACCGAGTCCACAGCGGAGGGATGGCAGATGCTACCCACTGGGTCTGGCCCTCACAGCCTGTGGGTGGCAGGCCCCTTGTGGGGGGAAGAGGGCATTGGGGGCAGCCATCCTGGGCAGCTCAGACCCCTCCATGCTGCAGGACGCGCCTGCCCTGGGCATGCCATCGCTGCTCCGGGGGGGGGCAGGCAGCTTGCTGGAGTCTGGACTTTGACATGGCCGCTCTGTGCCCCAAGGTAGCCATGGCAACGGTGCCAAAGTATATTCATATATAAACATGCGTCTTCCAGGCAGCCCCTTTGGGAGGAGCCGGCCTCAGGCCCATGCTGCCACTGGGGCAGGGCATCCTGTCGCAGGGTGGGAGCGCCGGGACTCCCATCCCAGACTGGCTGGCTGGGAAGCAGCATCTTCTGGGACCAAAGAGCCCCATGCCCCTGGCCCGGAGGCCTTGGGGAGCGTCTCCCCTGTGGCTTTCCCCAGATCCCAGGCCTGCAATGGTCCAGTGCGGACAGGCCTGCTGCAGGCTCCCAGCCCTTCCCAGGACGCCTGGGCAAGGCACCAGCCCCGGTAACCAGGAAGGGGGGGGGAATGTCCCTCTGCGTTTGGAGCCCCCAGTGGCCGGAGCAGCCTGCAGGGAAGGAGCGTTGCTGGGGCGCAGGGCAGGATGAGGCTGCCAGAGACAAGCCGACTGACCCCCAGCCCCACCATCTCCCCCGCAACGTACGCGATCCCCAGCGGCAGAGGGAGGCTGACCAGCAGCGGTAGCTCAGCCACTGTCCAGCTCTCCTCAGCTGCATCCGAAATCTGGGCCTGCCCCTCCCAGGGGTCAGGGAGAGACATTGGGGTGGAGACCTGCCCCTAAAATCCTGAGTCAGCAACAAACTTTACTCCAGGCAGCCCGGTGCAGTCAAATGACCGTGCACGTGGCTGTGCGTATGTGCGCGTGTGCATGTAACGTGCGTGCATGCCTGCCAGTGTGGGAAGGACTGTGGGAGTGTGTGTATGCAGTGACTGCAGTGCGTGTGCTTGTACACACGTGACTGCATGGACTGCGTGTACGTACAGCATGTCTGCAGCCTGTGCATGTGTGTGTGTATCTGCAGTGTCTGTGTGCGCCTCGGGAAGGACATGTGTGGGGGGTGAAGGTCAGCATGAGAGTGCTGCGCAGCACAGCATGCGGCCACTCTGGGGCGAGTGGCTGGCATCTGAGCAGCTGTCTCCAGGGGAGATGGCCCAGCCTCTCTCGCTGCGGTTCTGGTGCCACGGCTGTCTGGTCGCAGTCCCAGGAATCACACCAGCTCTGGGCCCAGACAGCATGGTCCCAGGGTGGCAGCCCCACTTCATTTCGCCTCCCGGTCTAATCCCAGGCTGCCCATGTCCAGCCTGGCCAGGTAATGGCGGTGTGGTGGGATCCTCCGGGGTAGACTCCCACAGCCCGGCAGGGAACCGAACCCAAAATGAGTCAGGCCCCAGCTCTGTTCACCTGCCCGGGCTCCTCTCCTGCAAACCTGGCCCCTGCCCCCAGCTAGCCACACTGCCACCCGGGTATCCAGGGCCGAGCCGGGCAGCCTCACCCCCACTCTAGCCATGGGGGTACCCTGCTCAGGGGGCCTGGCTAATCCCAGAGAGGGTGAGGAGAAACCCCCAACCTCCCACCAGTGCCCCAGAAAGAGCCTTGTTGTTTTGAGGCCTGCTTGGTACCAGAGTTTTTGTGCCGAGTTTTATTGGCCAAAATGTTCTCACCCAAGAGCGGGTTTTGTTCCCTCAAAAACCCAAACATTGTCCCCGAGACTTGGGTGACATCATGAAAAACCTAAAACCAAACGGGGGGGGAGTGGGCAGGCTGGGGACGTTTGGCTTTCATTGGGCTGCATGTAACTGGGGGGTTGGGCCTGCTATTGTGGGGAACTTTCCTGGCTTGCACACTGCCCCCTGAAATGGGATCTGAGTCCCGGCTCCCGCTCCCTTCACCCAGAGGCCTCCCTGCCCTCGCGGGCTCCCCTTCCATGCACCGGCGTGGCAGAGTCTGCGTAACCCAACAAGGCTGGGCCGAGGGTTCCTGGGGACTCAACCCCCCAACCTCGTCATGGTCACATGGTCACTAGGGATCCCCACTCTGGGGCGTTCTCTCCCTGCCTCACTGACCGGTGCAGGAAACAGCTTCCCACTGAAAATGCAGGGAAGCTGGGAAGTGGGGAGGAGAACAGGCCACCCCGCGCGGTGGGAACCGCACCCAGCATCTTTGGGATGTCAGGGCAGGTCACAGTCTGTTCTTCACAAGGCCCAGGCCCTAGCTGTGTCGCAGGGATGCTGAGGGTCGGACTCTTGCTCTGGCGGTGGCCACATGCCCTTGAGCTCTAGGTAGCAGGACCCTTCTCCCCAGCCTCAGCCACCCCCCGCCAAGCCTGGACCACAAGGCCTCTTGACAGGGTCCCTGCGCTGGGCCCTCTGTCGGGGGCCTCCCTCCCTCTCCCCAGCTGATCACTGCACCCAGCTCCACTCTGCATCAGCATGCAATGCTGCCTTC